TGAGCAAGGAGCCCGATGTGGGACTCCATCCCAGGACGCTGGGATCATGACCTGAGCCGAAGGCAGCCACTTAACCAACTGAGCCACCCAGGTGTCCCTGAAAACAAGTATTTTAAAGGACGTGTCTTCTTTTTCCTCCTCTTCCTCTGCCGTAATTCTCCTGGTACATCATTTCCCTCCTACATATGAAATCAGCTGTATAACATCATTATAGTCTTTGGCATAATACTTAAAGGCAACCGCCTTTCCATCAACACACATACCTGCACACAAATTGACCAACTCCACTTAAAAGGCAGTCTTCTCTTTTATTAAAAAGAGCATTGGGGTGCCTGGCAGGTTGAGTAGTTGGAGCATGTGGCTCTTGATGTCACGGTTGTGAGTTTGAGCCCCACCTTGGTTGTAGAGATTACTGAAAAAAAAAAAAAAAGATACAGCACTTGAAGGAATTTCTTATTTCTTGCTGTCATCAGCCTCTGATTAATATATAACTTCTAGGCATTAGTATTCTTAGGAAATTATAACAGCAGGTTTAACAGAGCAAGTGAAAGTTGTTGAATTGCTTTTAAGCAATAATCTGTGTTTGGCATACTTTGTCTTTTTCTTTTTTTCTTCTTTTTTTGAAGACTGATTTATTTGAGAGAGCAAGAAGGATGGAGAGGGAAAGAGAGTATCTCAAGCAGACTCCCCACTGAGTGCGGAGCCTGCCATGGGCCTTGATCTCAGGACTACCTGAGCCGAAACCAAGAGCCAGACACTTACTTAACTGACTGAGCCACTCAAGTGGCCATGCATACTTTGTCTTTCGTATATCAAAAGTCCTCGTGGTTCTTAAACTCTCGCGTCCATTGAAGCACCTGGAAGCCTTGTTAGAACACAGATTTAGTAGATCTAGTGGTGGAGGCCTAAGAATTTGCAGATGCTGATGTTGATGAACTTTGAGAACCTCAGTAGCTTGTACACCTCAGTAGTTTCTACATATTTGGGTTGCTGGACCAAAGCTCTCTTTGGGTGAATGTTACTTGCATTTACAGTTCACCTCAGTCTAGATAATTTGTGTTTATTGTTGTGCAGTGTATTGGATGGGCAGGAAAATGGAGTTTTCACTTGTAATTTTAGATTCAACCTAGTCCTTCTCAAATTTTTCTTGCTTTATGTAAAGCAGTTACTAAAACCCATTTTATTTCAGGGCAAATGAAGAGCTATTTTTATTACCTATAATTAACCTAATTCAGGAAAAAGGAGCAGGCTTGGGGAAAAGGCTAGCATTGACACAAGTGTGGAAGCTCAAAAATTGCTTTTCTGAAATTAATGTTACCAGCCTCAGTAAAGCATTTGAAGTTGATTTTAGAATCCCGGACCTAATTATTCCAATCTAGGGCTGCACTTGTAAGGGTTAAATAGTTTGTTGGATTCAACATGAATATTTCCAGGCTTGCTCAGAGTTCAAACATTCTGTCATCTTATTTGAGTAGTTGAAATTGTGTTACTTTGCTAGAACTTACAGAAGTGGCTAGAGAGAAAGAACAGAAGCCATCCTATTGATGAACCGTCTTTTAACCATCTCACATCTACTGCGCTCGTTCAGTGTTTTCAAAATGTAGTATTTCAGAAACTGTTTCTACACATTACACCCTTACATTTATAATATAACCGTAGAGTTTGTTTAAATCCTTAAAAAATACTATTTTCAGAGAATAGCTGCCAAGCTTATTCCCCAACTTTTGATTTTTGTTTGTGTCTTTGTCTTAATTCAAAGACAGCTGTTACGTAGTTGAGCCTTGAATTACAAAAGTCCAATATTTAAAATCTTAAAAAAGATCTTTTTTGGTTTAAAAATCATAATGTTTTAAATTTGGGAATTACCACGTTTCATGGCCCAAAATAGCACATTGAATTTTTGGCAGCTTCTGTCCTGCCTCTGCCAATAAAAGCAGCACCATATGGTGTGACTGCTGTTACACTAGGAAACCCACACCCTGCGGAGACACTGCCTGGCATGAAGCAGAGCCGCTGCTCCCCCTGTGCTTATCTTTTTAAGTCAGCATATTGGCCAAGATATATTAAGATTCCAGGACATCATGGGATCCTGTCAGTTGAGTCTTGCAGCTCTTTTTCCCACTAGCTTTAACGTTTGGCCACATTATAAAAACATGTACTCAAAACTTGATGGAATCTCTCACCCATCTTTAGAAAAAAGCTTTTGATGACTATTGTAAGAAAGGAAAGTATATACTTTTTAGGACACGATTAGTACAATCAATTTTGTATTCCTTGCAGTGCTGGCACTCCTCCACAACTGTGTCTTCTCTGAATAATCATCTCTTCCTCTCCTACTAACCCTCCTCCCCTGACCAAATATCCAGAAGGAAAGTAATTTGCAAATACTCATTCTAGGTGTGGGTTAAGTGATGGAAGATGGGCTAAAATTTGTAGTTCTTTGTGATGGAAAGAGTTCAGAACATGACACATAGAGGGAACCAATTGCTGTCCTCCTTTCTCTTACTTCTGTGTATTTTATCCTTTGTTGACTAGGTGTATTATGTTTTCCAAATAAGTGGGCTCTTCCTGTTCTTTGTCTGTCTTATGTTAGGGTGGTCATTTAATTCATTGTGATCTTCATCCAAATGTTTCTTAATCATATAAAATTACTATTAAGGCTTTCCAATATAAAATTAACTAATTCTTCTGAAAATAAAGGCACACAGGTAGATTTTCCTTATCATATGGCTTATTAGTTTTCAGAAACTTTGTTCACTTATTCTTGAAACAAATATAAGTACCTATTATTTGTACTAAATGTACTAGGCACTGTGTATAAAAAAAATGGAATAGACAGATTTTCACCCTCCAAGAACACAGAACCCTTTATAATACAGTTTAAAGATTTTTAAAAATTATTCATTTATTTTAGAGAGAGAGGGCACATGTACAGGCAAGATTGGGGCCGGGGGGTGTTGAGGGCGCAGAGATGGAGGGAGGGAGAGAGAGAGAACCTGAAACAGACTCTGAGCATGGATTCTGATGCAGAGCTTGATCCCACGACCTGGAGACCACGACCTGAGCTAAAATCAAGTCAGATCCTTAACTGACCGAACGACCCATGCACCCCTCTAATATAGTTTAATGCTTTACTAAAGACATACACTGTACTTGTATCTTGAGGCAACTAATGAAATTACACTTTCTAAAGATTCAAAGGAAAATACTACATTTCAGCCTTACAGAGAAGTGCTTATAAATGTTATTGCCTGGTTTGTAAAAAAAATAGTTAAAGCTCAGAGGGAATTACAAGCCTGGTTCAAACTAAGTGAGAAATAACTGAAAAATTAAATATCTCTTAAAATAGTTGATGTTTTTTCTAAAATTTGAATAGCTAATGGTTGTGTGACTTTTCAAACAAAATTTGGGGAAATTATATTTTCAATTTGCATGTAGTGGAATATTTTGTTGGTAAGACAGATACCTTATATTTAAATATTTTAGGATAAGAATCAGTAGGTACTTAACCTTTTGAGGTACTAATGTGAACATGGTTTAAGTCGGTGTGTTTCAGTAGGAATGCATTTTGGTGGTTAGGAGGGACCATTCCTCAGTGTGCAGTACTGTCCTGTCCATTTAAGGACATTTAGCATACTTAGCCCCTTTTCATAATTTTTATATTAGTATAAAAAGTTATATGCCTGCTTACATCCGTTTGGCCCAGTAACACCAGGGCAGCTTTTATTCAGTGTAAGTGAATACCAGGGGGTGCCTGGGTGGCTCAGTGGGTTAAAGCCTCTGCACACAGCTCAGGTCATGATCCCAAGGTCCTGGGATCAAGCCCCGAGTCGGGCTCTCTACTCAGTGGGGAGCCTGCTTCCCTTCCTCTCTCTCTGCCTGCCTCTCTGCCTGCTTGTGATCTCTGTCTGTCAAATAAATAAATAAAATCTTTAAAAAAAAAAAGTGTAAGTGAATACCGGTATGTATTCCTGATTTATTATTATTCTTTTTAGATTTTCTTTATTTATTTGAGAGAGGGTGAGAACACAAGCAGCGGGGAGGGGCAGAGAGAGAATCAGACTCCCCACTGAGCAGGGAGCCAGACCTCCAGCTCCATCCCAGGACCCAAAGGTCGTGATCTGAGCCAAAGGCAGAGGCTTAACCCACTGAGCCACCCAGGCGCCCCAGAGAAGCAGGCCCCCTGCTGAGCAAGGAGCCTGATGCGGGACTTGATCCCAGGACCCTGGGATCATGACCTGAGCTAAAGGCATTGCCTTAACCGACTGAGCCACACAGGCATCCCTAAATTGTAGTTTAAAGATTGCCTTCCAAACGTCAGTGTTAGCCCAAGTCCGTGTGATAAACAAAAGTGCCCCTTCGTATTTCCAAATGTACCTGATTGGTAATTGGTCACTGTTAAAAAACAAAATTCAACTGAGTAATTTGAAGGTCAGATTAGTTTTATACAATGATGAATTGGATAGCATCCTATCTAGCAAATAGAAAGGAGCTCCAGAAAGCGATACAAAATGGGAGACTTCTGTAGGCAGAAAGATCAGGGCCAAGGCAGGAGTGGAGTACCTCATCCTTGTGGACCAGAGGGGGTCTGCCAGGCAGATTACCTCACTAGTAGTATTGACTAGGAAATTCTAGGTTGAGTGGTTTAAGGTTACATTCCTGAGATGGGTTGAAACTGTGGTAAAGTTAAGTGATAAGTCTTGGGTTAGCACAAGTGATTCCATTTGAGGCCTTTTTAAAAAAATTAAACACCATCTACTTATTACATAGTCTCTTTGCTCTCTGTATATGTGTACCAAATTTTACTTTCTGAACTTTGAGGGCTGCCATGAACTTTAACAACTAAAACACCTCTCTCCTTTTAAAAAACTAGAATACGTGCTTAGATATCTGTGGACAGGGTTTCCAGCTTGCTTGGTGTAGAGCCTATAATTTTGGTTACTATAAATCTCACCAAACATTTTTTTGCACTAGAAGTAGTATCCACGTCACAGTGTGGAAGATGCAATACTCAACCTTCGTCTTTTAAAAAACCGCTCTACTGAAGGATGTTTAACATAGTCACTCATTTCAAGTTTACAGTGATTTTTTAATAACTTTACTGAATAATGTAACTACCACCATAAGTTCAGTTTTAGAATATATTTATCCCCCCACCCAAAGGTCCCTGATGCCCATTTATAGTTAATCCCCATTAATTCCCATGCCTAGACGCCTCTGATCTACTTTCTGTCTCTAAATTTCCATTTTTGGACATTTTATGTAAATACAATCATGAATTTGTGACCACTACCTTCTCAAAACATTTTTCTGAGGAGGCAGTGACCTCTTTGACTTTGGCTGTAGCAACTTTTTTCTGGAATGTCTTCTGAGGCAAGGAAAACAAAAGCAAAAAATAAATTTGAGACTACATCAAAATAAAAGGTTTCTGCATGGGGAAAGAAACAGTCCACAAAACTAAAAGGCAGCCTATAGAATGGGAGAAGATACTTGCAAATAATATTTCTGATAAAGGGTTAGTATCCAAAATATATAAAGAACTGATATAACTCAACACCCAAAAAACAAATAATACAATTAAAAAATAGGCAGAAGACATGAACGGACATTTCTCCAAAAAAGACATCCAGGTGGCCAACAGACACATGAAGAGATGATCAACATAATTCATCATCAGGGAAATGAAAATCAAAACTACACTGAGCTATCACGTCATGCCTGTCAGAATGGCTAAAATCAACAACACAAACAATGTGTGTTGGTAAGGATATGTAGAAAAAGGAACCCTCTTGCTTATTTGGTGGGAATGTAAACTTGTGTAGGCCACTGTGTAAAATAGTGTGGAAGTTCCTTAGATAGTTAAAAATAGATCTGTCCTATGATCCAGCACCGGCAGTACTGGATATTTACCCAAAGAATACAAAAACACTAATTCAAAGGGATACATGCACCCCATGTTTATACCAGGATTATTTATAATAGCCAAATTATGGAAATAGCCCAAGTATCCATTGATTGATGAATGGATAAAGAAGGGGTGATATATATATTATATATATGATGGAATATAACGTAGCCATAAAAAGAATGAAATCTTACCATGTGCAATGATGTAGATCGAGCTGTAGAGAGTATAATGCTAATCGAAGTAAGAGAAAGACAAATACGATATGATTTCATACGTGGAATTTAAGAAAATGAGCAAAGGGGGAAAAATAGTAAGAAACAGATTTAATTATAGAGAACAAACTGATGGTTACCGGAGGGGAGGTGGGTGGGGGTGGTGATGGGGATTAAGGAGTTGTGATGAGCACCAGGTGATGTATGGAATTATTAAGTCACTATATTGTACACCTGAAACTACTGTAAGACTGTATGTTAACTAAGGAATTAAAATAAAAACTTAAAAACATTTCTCTGTGTCTTTTCTATCAGACTCTTCTTTCTCAGTCACCCCCTTAATCAGATGCTTAAATGTCATGGTTCTATTCTCACTTGACCGAGGTGAATTCATCCCAGGTAAATGTGATGATTCCTATATCTCTGTCATAGGCCTAAACCTTTTCCTAAGCTCCAGACCCATACTGCCAACTACATGTGTGGGGGATGTCCATGGGCACTTCAGTCTCCACAGCTCTGGAACTGAGCTGAGGACCTGCTTCTCCAAGCCTCCTGGGCCTGGACTTCACTTCCCAGTGAAGCTGCCACCACGCACTTCGTCCCCCAACCCAGAAACTAGGGCACCATCATCCTTTATTCTTCTTTCCCTCACTTATTGTAACCAGTAAATTGCCAACTCTGCAATCACCTCCGAAATACCACATACACTGAATATAGTTAACCTAAATTTAAATGGTACAAGTATGCCATGTAGTTTGAGTCAAGAATATGTATAGAGATTCTTTTTAAAAAAGTATATAGAGATTCTAAGTCAGGATCAGGCCTTAATGGGAAGCATAGTAAATTCTTATCCCTTGCTAGTAGTTACAGGTTTTGAGATTGTTCAGAATAAACACAGCATTAACAAGCGTCAAAATTCTTTTTATCAGCTTTAATTTTTTTTTTAAAGATTTTATTTATTTATTTGACAGAGAGAGAGAGCACAAGTAGGCAGAGAGGCAGGCAGAGGGTGTGGGGGAAGCAGGCTCCCTGCTGATGCTGATGCGGGGCTTGATCCCAGGACCCTGAGACCATGACCTGAGTTGAAGGCAGAGACTTAGCCCTCTGAGCACCCCCTTTTTATCAGTTTTAATTTTATTATAATTTAGTTTTAGTTTTTTCTTTTTTTTTAATATTTTATTTATTTATTCGACAGAGAGAGAGATCACAAGTAGGCAGAGAGGCAGGCAGAGAGAGAGAGAGAGGAGGGGAAACAGGCTTCCCGCTGAGCAGAGAGCCCGATGCAGGGCTTGATCTCAGGACCCTGGGATCATGACCCGAGCCGAAGGCAGAGGCTTAACCCACTGAGCCACCCAGACGCCCCAGTTTTTTCTTTTTTTAATACAAGTTTTTTCTTTAATAAAAGTTTTTTAATAGAAGAAAAATGGTTTCAACAAGAGTTAAGACATAGCCATCTGTATTTCCTCTTATACTTTTTTAAAAATTAAGGCTAAAACGGTTTCTTCTGGCTTTTATCTCCCTTCTCCCTATATTATAAGAAAAGTTTTCTACTTTCTGTAGAACAGAAGTATAACTTAGAGTTTCATTTCTCACAAAACAAAATTGCTGCTCACATGACAAATTGAATGTCTGTTTGCAGTGGTTTGAGACAATTAGATGGAAACAGTTCCCTGTTTAGTAGGTGATGTATGTATTTCCCCTTTACAAAAGAGTAAAGTTCCTTTTTATTCTTTAATTTAGCAGCAAATTTTAGTTGGATAAAGACCACTGAAAATTTTATGCAGAATATTTGTTGAGTTGGATCCGGGGCACTCAGATGGCGGACCGAGTGGAGTTGGGGAAGAACAGAGGAGCTGCTTTGTTAGACTCCGTGGAAGCTAGCTAGGAAGCCTTTCCTTAAGCAGCTGTTGAGAAACTAAGAAGAGGGGTTTTTCTTTCTGTCTAGAAGATGGCTTTCCTATGGTTTCCTCTTAATTATTTTTCCATTTGTTATCCTGGGGATATAATCACATTTTGCTCTTTAGCTCTGTTTTCTTTTTTTCTTTTACTGGTCAGCCCCTCTCCCTGTCAACATTTCTTCCCTCCCCATGGAACTAAGAAAATGCAGATCCTTTCCACGCCTTACATGAGGCTGACTTGTGTTCATCCACACGGATTGCTATGTGCCTCACACGTGCTTCCCAGAGTCGGGCAGTCTTGTAACTGCCCCAGATAGGTGCTTACAAGAAGGAAATGAGGCAGAGATTCTGCAATTGATTGATTTCTGAGGCAGAAAGTTACCTTACGCATAAGTTGTAACCAGTTTATATCTGCCTGATTTTTAGAAGTTATTAAAAGGATAGATATGGGGCAGTGGGTGGGGGGCGGTTAAAGAGACAACATAAGTTGTCTCATGAGATGAGTTGACTTTCAGAAGTTGTCTTTTTTTTCCCCTTCAGATCTAATCCATTGGTGTTTATTCATGTGAGATTTTTTTTTTTCCCTTGGTCATTTCTAAAAGCTTCATTTGAAGCATGAGCAGTTTCTACCTGGAGAATTGGATTTAAATAAATAATGGTGATGAATTCCTTCAGACGTTTGCAGAGGAACTCCAGAAATGTAATTCTTTTTTTTTTTTAATAATCATAATAGACATCTATTTAAAGCAATACATTTGCAGCTCAGATAGTTCTAAATTGTACATTTCATGTTTATTTAACTTCTTAAAAATACTTGAGGGCAGCTGCAACCAGTTTTCAACTCCATGATTACTTCTTTGCCCATTCTTCTCTCTCTTTCCTTTCCCGAATAACTTCTTTCAGATATGGTTCAAGGTAGAATTTATCCTCCTCATATTTTGTCCATTGCTCTTTAGGCAAGATCTGATGCCTCATGGTCAGTTCCAGTGCCTTCTTAATGCGAAACATCCTGTCATTATAAAGGTTTTCAGGAAGCCTTCTTACATCTTCTTTCACATCATTGTTCTCACGTATGGTATCATCTCGCATCAACCTCAGTCTGTTGAACCCTGCAGCATTGTAGTACCACTTTCGAATGCCCTCCAGCCACTGGCTTGATGCTGCAGCGGCAGGCCTGCTTGCCATTTTGACCCCAGAAATGTAATTCTTGATAACCCTTTTCTTCTCTGTCGTAGTACTTTTCCATCAAGAAACCGAAATAGCGGGCTTAATTTTCTGAGAATAGTGCTCTTTGATCTCTTTATTTAGTAATTTCATGTCCCATCCAGCTTGAAGTCATTGCATAGTTTTGGTTTTAATGTGGGACTGTATTAGTGCACTGATGTTAAAATTTAAAAACCTGAAACACAGACCCAAGAGGAAGAAGTTGGGGAGAAGCTCTTTATTTCATTGTGACCTCAGTAACTGACAGCTTGCCTTTGGAAGCCTAGAGAATCAGGTAGAATTTCTGTCAACCAAATAAATGTATATTGAATCCAGTGTGTGCCTTATGTTCTGATGGCCCAAACTGTGATCACTGCCTTCCTGGAACTGCCCTCAGTTATTTATTTATTTATTTAAAAGATTATTTTATTTCAGAGAGAGAGAAAGAGGGAGGGGCAGAGGGATAGGGAGAATATCCTAAGCAGACTCTGCGCTGATTGTGGAACCCATTAGGGGTCTCAGTCCCACACCCTGAGATCACGACCAGAGCCAGAAACCTAAGTCGGATGACCAACCAACTGACCCACCCAGATGCCCCACTGCCCTCAGTTATCTGAAAAGAAAAATACTGCCAGAGAGAGTAGGGGTTTTGTGATCAGCCAAGAATTTATTTCATTAGGATTTTAATGCTTAAAGGGAGAATTTCAAGATAGGTAAAACGCGTAGCCAAATTACGGTAGCAGAATTTCTTGTGCATTTGCCTGCTCTGTGATGTCATGGTTGCACCAAGTAAGAATTAGAACGTAGATTTGAAATTCTTATTCAGTTTGGAATGAATAAGGTGCCCTGTGGCAGATATTTTTAGAATGGAGGAACAGCTCCAGGACTTGCTGTAAGTCAGGTTCTCGTTCAAAGACTGATCCTGAATATTGACTTCAAGAGTTGAAATCTTTCATCCTGAATTAGTTATTCTTCTGTTCTGAAAATCAAAGTTTAAGCTGTCGTCAGTAGATTAAATCAATACCATATATATATATATATATATATATCTCACAAGAAAGCAACTTTTGGCATCAGAGACAATTTAAATGATCCCTCTATTTGGAAGTGGATATTTTTCACAGATGTAAGCTGTTGTGAGTTGGTAGTTATACTATCAAAATTGTCAGAGGGCTTCAGAAAGGGTGGGTCTATTTTTTATAGGGGAATGGTTTTTAAAAAATGTGTTTTTCTCTTTTTACCATAGTTCAGATTAAAAAAAAAAATTTTTTTTAAGATTTTATTTATTTGACAGAGATCACAAGTAGGCAAAGAGATAGACAAAGAGAGGAGGAAGCAGGCTCCCCGCTGACCAGAGACCCACAATGCGGGGCTCGATCCCAGGACCCTGGGACCATGACCTGAGCTGAAGGCAGAGGCTTTAACCCACTGAGCCATCCAGGCACCCCTCAGATTCAAAAATTCTAATGGCAAAGGATGAGATTAACGATTGGATTCTCCCAAATAATAGCATAAGTTAACTGGTAGAATCAGAATTGAAATTAACAATTTCATAGTCTTACCCAGTCTGTTGATTTCCTCAGTATACAAAAAGAAAACTGAATATGAAAAATAAGAAATTGAGTTTTATCATATATGGAATCTGTAGCCTTAAGGCAATACATTGAAGCAAGATACTTTTGTCTGATCTATTTTGGGGGCAATTAATGATGTAAACTATTTAATCTTAAATGGTTTATCTTAAATTAGTTAATAGTTAATCCTAAATTAAACTAATCTTAAATTCTAAGGCAAGGGTGATTAGTCATCTCTGGAAAAAGAATCTGCTGTTTATTTTTTCTGTTTTTGTGTTCCTGAGACTTAGGATGTATAATTATATTTATTAAGGTATTGGTGAAACAGGGAAAAGTTTGAAAAGGTAACTTAGGAATTTTCTTGTGTTTATTTTTAATTAAGGCACTACCCCAAGAGAGCAGAGGAGCAAAATAAAACCAGAAAAACTTGGGAGTTTTTAATGGCCCTAAAGTGAACTAATAGGAGACTAGTATGTATGTATGTATGTATTTTTCAAGAGGGTCTGTGCAAGCCGGGGTTGCGGGGAGGGGGGCAGAGGGAGAGGGACAGAGAATCTTAAGTGGTCTCCACACTCAACATAGAGCCCAATATGGGGCTCAAGCTCACGATCCTGAGGTCATGACCTGAGGCAAAATCAAGAGTTGGACACTAAACCAACTGAGCCACCCAGGTGGTCCCAGAGACTGTCTTAAACCAGGGAAGTCTGCTTCCCATTTCTGTACACTGTTTCTTTGTTTAGAAGCAGGGGCAATTTCAGTAACCGGTTGAATCAATTATTTTTATAAGTCATGGATAGTGAGATCATTTATTCAGTGGCAAACCTTTTGGAAAGAAGGTATTAATGTATTCACTTTTCTGAAACCTCATTAACTTGCTCTGAGGCCAAAATTACTCCGTATTTATATTTTAAAATGAGCATTGGCTAAGTTTTTTTTTTTAAGATTTTATTTTAAGCAATCTCGACATCCAACTTAGGGCTCATACAACCCCGAGACCCAAGTCACACACCTCACTGGCTGAGCCAGCCAGGTGCCCCTCCTTCTGTATTTGTTAATTTCGAGATAAAGTTTAGAAATTGAAGTTCTAGCTAAAGGTTTTTAATAAGTTACTTAATGAGATATAATATTCTAAGATATCTTAGTATGTCCTAAATTTTATTTTTATTTTAAAATCTGTCGTGGATCACCTAGGTTGGTTTGTGTATATGCATCTGAATTCCTTACCTTAATGCCATAATTAGCTATCAGCATCATAGCATTGTAAGATTCTTTTTTTTTTAATATTTTATTTTTATGTATTTATTTGACAGAGATCACAAGCAGGCAGAAAGGTAGGCAGAGAGAGAGAGGAGGAAGCAGGCTGCCTGCTGGGCAGAGAGCCGGATGTGGGGCTCGATCCCAGGACCCCGGGATCATGACCTGAGCCGAAGGCAGAGGCTTTAACCCACTGAGCCACGCAGGTGCCCCATATTGTAAGATTCTTAACCACACAAATGACTCACAGTAGACATACACAAGTGTACCATACTATTTTCAACTGAAGTGGATATTTTAAATGAGTTGTAGAGTGTGTCATTTTGTGGATTTTATTTAGTACATGTTACGGAAAGGCAAGTCTCATTTAAATGCTTGAAGTTTTTTTCCCTTGCATAATGTGGTAAAAATAAGGAACATAGAGAATATAGGTAAATGGTTTAAAAAAAAAATTCCTTGGCCCCAGAAGCAAGATTTTGAGAGCGAGAGAGCAATCCCAAATTGACTTTCTACTATCCACTCCGCCCCATCTCTTTTTCCCTTTTGAAATTGAAACAAAAATATGTTTTCTGTCATTAGGTATCATCTCTTGCTTCTGAATAGGTATATGAATTGGGTATGTTCTGCCTAATGTAGAGAGCATTTGTCCAGTCAAGTTCTGTGATGTGGGTTGTTTAGTAAGATTTCTCTTGAAGAATGAACTTTTCCAAAGCTTTTTGTGGCTCACTTAAATTATTTATTCTGTACTCTTTCTGTGATCTATGAGGTATTTCATTTGTATCAGATGTTGGAATTTAATATATTATCTTCGACAGAGCAAACTGTCCTCTAGTCCTTATCTTCTCTGTTTCTGATGTAGACCAAAGATTCAAAGACCTTTAGTCAAAGTCCTGTATTTTAAACATTACATTTCCCAATATTGTCCTGAAGAATAATAATTGTGATGATCAAAATGTTAAAAGATAATGTTGAAGATCTGAGTGTATTCAGAAGAATTATGGTAGTATAGTCCTGGACCTCTTTTGCACTCCTTCCTTCCTTCCTTCCTTCCTTCCTTAAGATTTTATTTGAGAGAGAGCACAAGTGAGCACATGAACACAAGCAGGGGGAAGCGGCAGAGGGAGATGAAGAAGCAGACTCCCCACTGAACAGGGAGCCCAGTGAAGGACTCAGTCCCAGGACCCTGGGATCATAAACTGAGCCCAAGGCAGAAGCTTAACCAACTGAGCCACGCAGGCACCATTTTGCACTGCATTATACTACCTGTTTACAGGTGGCTGTTAAGTGATTTGAGGTAACAAACTGAGATGAATGCAGAACATTTAGATTGAATTGTCAGTCATTGATCTTGCTTATTATTAAGTTGGCCAGTTGGTCACAAGTAACATTTATTTTCACAGCATGAGTCAATTTGAGTTTGATGTGATGAGGAAAGTGCATTGACTGCCTGTGGTGGGCTAAAATCATTTCCCAAGTGATTGAGAAAAGTGTTATTAGGTGACTAATAGCCTTGGTTTGTTTGCATATTTAAAGATAACTGCATCTGAACAGTTGGATTTAAATAATAAAGGTTCTTGGAGACTTAAAACGTGAGTGAACAAAACCAAAACTATTTAATCCTCTGATGTTTACTTAGAAATAACCTAAATGAAGTTCAGAATAGATACCACGCCTGGATATGTATATGGATATTAGATTGAGAGATTAGGGAGAGGGGCAGGCAGAAATTCTACACACACTTATTTGTGCTAAGTAAACTTGATGAAGCCATTTAAAGACTGTTCTTTCCATTGGGATAAGATTTTTCTACCATAATTTCCTAAATTAATTTATGCCTTGGGGGACCTGGGTGGCTCAGTGGGTTAAGCCTCTACCTTCGGCTCCGGTCGTGATCTCAGGGTCCTGGGATCGAGCCCCGCATCAGGTTCTCTGCTCAGTGAGGAGCCCGTTTCCCCCTCTCTCTCCGCCTGCCTCTCTGGTTACTTGTGATTTCTGTCAAATAAATAAATAAAATCTTTTTAAAAAAAATTTATGCCTTTATTCCAGTTTATCCTAATGTAATTCAACTATTTAAACTGAAGTTGCCTTCCTGTAGCTAAGAATCTATATAACTACAAACTTTTAAGTTGAGGTTTAAAAAGAAAACCTCTTTTTATTTATTTTTTCCCTTATTTTTGGGATTGATTTATTTATTTTGGAGTTAAGGCAGTACAAAGTTAACATTCTTCTAGAAGTATACTATAACAATATTATTATAGATAATATTTATTATA